GCTTCCGATAATGCGTCCAGTTTTCACTGCCGCATAGAAGAACGGGCAGCACCATAGAAATGTACTCCATCAGCTTCTTTCCAGCGGTAAGCTGACGGTTGTTCCAAACACGTTCTCCAGTTTGCCAAACGCAGCAGCCGCCTTCGATACGCGGGCATGTAGCTGACTCATTAACTGCAAGTCAGTTGTCATTGCGTACCCAAGTTGGCAAAATTTCGATGCTGTCTCCAACACTTCACCAGCAACCTGGGTTTGGAGCAGGCTCATGGACTATATTTCCTTTGAAGGATGAAAAATCTTGTGTTGATGATGAGCCAGAATTTGGCCTCTGTCGATGCGTGAACCGAAGTCATGTGCTGCAACTCACCTGCGCTGCGGGCAAAAGACCCACAGTAGTCGGCAAACAGCAACCTATGGATGATTGTCACACACACTAGGGTTTTGGCGCCGAAATGATGGAGGTTCAGCAACCCACCATTTATACGATGCTCTACATGGACACCGTAATCACAAGCAGTACCAAAAGCACAACACATCATTACTTTTAGGTAGATCATAAACAGTGTAAAGGTTAAGACACAGTCACGCTCCCCTCCGAAGACAACAGCAAAGTCATCCGAGGTTTGTCCACTCAGCTGCATCCTCGGCCGCATAGCACTGTGCAGGTATTCAATTAAACTTACAAACTTACTCGGACAACCAAACTTGCAGCTAGTACAATAGCTGGTGTCGCTTTCGGTATTTTTGCTGCAACTGACCAGCCGCGGACACCATCCTTATTGTACTGGGGCCCGAACGGAATCCACAGTACTCTTCCGCCACGTACGATTCAACGACCTGATTGACGAAGCGCTTGAGCAGGATTCCTGCGATCATCTTCCCCACACAACTCAGAAAGTTGATATCAGAATAATTCGTGCAACATTGCTTACTGCCTTTGCCTTTACGCAGTGATAGCACAAGGACATCCTTTAGGTAAGCCAACACTTCCTCTTCAATCCACATGTGCGGCAAATGTCGCAGTTTTCTTCGAAACCAAGGCCATAACGATAGCATTGTTGTCATCAAATCGGGCCGCTTACAGTTCGCGCGTCCGATAGTCTCTTCGGCAGCAGTCAGCACCTTTTCACCTATGTGGGGCCACAGGTCACTCACTGGGGCTTTCGATTCAACATCGCCACTTTAGGTAGCCATCCACTTCTCCAGTTCTATCCCCTTCACATTAGTACCTAGTTCAAGACAGGTGAGCACTACACCAATTTATGAAAATAGACCTACCATCTGGTCCGCATCAACTTGGGATCAGTGCTACACACAGCTCCACGCAACACACGTGTCATCCGCACTTCACGCATGTCACGCTGGCATACGATGACAATCGAACAGGTGCGCATTGCCACTCTGTGGGTGCGTCCAAGTAGCTGTCTAATTCGCACACAGTGTAAACCGTGTGTTCGTGATCGCCAGGTCGGGAGTGGTACACAGTGGAGCAGCCGTTCACTGTTCCCATTGGCTGTGCTAATACCATACGGTCTGATTATGTTTGTCCACCCTGCAGTATCGTGCGTTCCTCGCGTTGAAATCACCCAGCAGGAGTAGCCTGTCGCAACTCGGCACAGACCGTATAACGGAGGATAATTATAAAACTGACCCCTCGTGTCTGCAGCCTAACACATAGTGGGACCATACATATTAATTAGATTGGCAAATTTACCTCCTTCAATTCATATGTGCAGGGTCACCAATGGTGGGCTGATGCCTGTCGGCTTTGCCACCAACTAGTCAGTTAGGCGTTCGGAGAGCGCAAATTCGACCCCATGTTCACGTGGTGGTGAGGTAGAGTTCTCCACCCAGTGGGACGTGGACCCAGCACCAGCCTCAAGCATCCTGACTTGGTCAGCGGTTGCAGTCTCGCTGAGAGCGACAATCTCGCTCCTGTAGCGCGCGTGTTTCATTACGACCACTCCAGCGTGTCACTCAATGAAATTCAACTATACACTGATTATAACTACCCGTTTAAAAGTGACAGGGCTGTCTGATAGCCATAGCGCCGACAATCTATGGTATCTGTATAAGTGATCCAGATTTACTAGGCGCGGTACATCGTCTTCCACTTTAAAATTCCACAACCGTACTTTAGCTAAATGTGACTATGTCACTTCTAGTCATGGCTAGATTAGAGCGCACTTGTTGGGAATAGTCCACGTTTCGCAAATGGGCCGGATAGCGTTACCGAACATGCATAGTAAGCCCTGCTCAGGGAGAGATTGGTGAAAGCCATGCCCACACTTTGGGCTCACAGATGTAAATAAACAACGTGTTTGCAGTTGGAAGCGATCCTACGTGGTGGATTTGATGGGATCTGCATTGCGAAGATCAAACCAAAATCTCGTCTGAAGTGCATTAGATCCTCTGGTACATTGGTATATTGCTTCATGTTTTAGGGTAATAAATAATTTTGTCTTATTTGACGGAATCGCTATTTACCATGTTGTTCAATATGGGCACAACTAGGATGACACAACCTTTTGTGCTGGAGAAACGTAGTGCCACTTTACATTACATGTTAATAGTAAGGACGGAACCTTGGGATGATTTGACATCTGCCACTGTGAAAGATCCACTTGCGTACGGTTGCGCAAAACCCAGCGAGCATGTTTGGCTCCGACATCCGAAGTTTGGAGTTGCGGCCGAAGATAAAATCTAATCCATCATACACAAAACACCGGAAGTCATCCAATAAAACAACACCTGCTGATGCCAATAGTCAGAGAACATCAGTTTACTAATCGAATAGTTGCGTTCTAAATGACATTAGAAACACTTGCATGTTATAGATTTTATAGAGAAACTTCTTTCTTTATCAGCCTCTTACTTGGCAGACATCATGAACAATAGCAGAGTACGTATGTATAGCCGCTTGTTCTAACACTCTAACCCGCTTGCTTCTGAGAGGTATGTTGAAAACACGGGTTGAAACGTTGTCAAAATATCGCAAAATCCCCCCCCCCCAAAGTCCTGCAAGGCATCGCATTTGACTTTCTTCCTGTAATATCTGTAATGCTTCTTTCCTTGGATTTACTTTAATAGTATTACTCCAGGTCCGTTATTAAAACAAAGCCGCGTTAGAGCATGGACTAGATCACTGATATCGGTAGATTGAAACAGGTGTACTCCTCGAAAATGTGAAGGAGCACAACAAGTCAGCGGACAATGAGAGTTGAACACATAAACTTGGTGTCGCGGTTGTGTTAGGCACTAATTACTAAACCTAGTCCGCCTGACACAGCTGTAGAACTGAAAGTCAAAACCCAGCAGAGCAGGAAAGTCTGAAAAGCGACTTTAGTCGCTCCTTACAGAACTTGCTCGTACTTAGCGCATAAATGAAATCCTTTAAGAAGAAAGACCATGATTCAGCTCATAGCGGATTTCGGGCTCCGAGTTGTACACATGGAACACTGCACGACTGAAATTGAAAGTTGGATTGTTCCTTAAACTCGCCAAATGACGAATAACGAGTTTTCATCGAACCTCTTCACAGTTACTTTGATGGGCATCAGAGCGCCAGTAATACAGGCAGAGACATCTAAACAGTATCTCGTGTTCACTGTGCATACAGCCGTGCTTGATCAGCAAGTTTATCCATTCATGCATATTCCGTTTAAAATAGAGCAATCTGGTGGAAAGTCAAGTAGATTCAGTGGTTACAAAAGTGCTAGAAAACTTAAGATCACCGAGTTGAGAATCCTTAATATTATGCAAACTAGGGACGATGGATTAGATGGGGTTTACAACTAGTATGGTATTATTTTTCACGTTTGACGCATAAAATTTCTGTAGCCAAAGGCTGACATGGTGGCCCTTATGAAATCTGAAAATTACTTCGTAACGCTTCAAAAATAAGGGCTTGAATACAAAGTTAATGTCAGAAGCAGTGAGTCTTACTGCTTATACCGGGAGATCATACGAGTTGACATTCACCTCATAGGTAATTGCACAGTGCATCAATTCGAAACCGTAACCTCAAATGAAATGGGACTAGGGGAATTCGATGGAGCATTTGTCTTCACTATGAACCCGGAGCCTCAGTCTTGGCTCAGTCTCCTAGCCGTCCTTGTAACTGCTGTCAGAGGAGAGGAGCTGTAGCATAATGGTATTGATACTTTCTCATAGCGCAGTTGATGATAGCCCACGAAAAGTAGAAGTCAGGAACTTGATGCCACAATAAGTTGATGACGAATTCAGGTATTGTGCGTTTACAGGATACAGCAGGCAAGCAAGCACAGACAAGTAGGAATGGGGATCGGAGTACGTACGGTGGAAGTATCAATCAGATAAAGCAGGTTCACTTGTTTGGTCAATTCCATCAATGGGACCTTAACTGAAGCAGGGGAAATCGGACGTTGCCCACCTGTCCGCGGTGTTTTCGGGTTGGCAACACCAAAGTTCAACTGTCGTCACGAAGGCGGAGTGGCTGGCATACGGAGGATGGGTGGGATGCAAGTGCCGATTCTGTGATGGGTTTGGAAGTTGCTCTAACCTGGCTATTTTCGGCTAAAAACTGCGTCTTTTTATATCACAACACACCATTGATATACTTCAGTACGAGGAAGGTTTGTCACAAACACCTGGAGAAATCAGAAGACGATTTTGGGACAGTTCTACAACCGTATAACCTTCACTTTCATCGCACTTGTCAGAACCAGGTGTTAGTTTTGGAACATGTGGTCCATACCTGCTGACGGAATTGAGAACTACACATTAAAAGTAATGTAGAGACATTGGACGTAAGCGCACAGTGTGATAAGGGCCCAGGGCACGCGCGTTTACCCCACTAGTTGAAAAAATCGGTGGTTTGTGTGCCGTGTTCCAGAGTTGTCGCAAATTCTGCAGTTCCTTGGTAACCTTTTATTCCAGTCAAAGCAATAAAAATAACCGGACAGCATTGCGTAAACTTACTTCAGCCTAAATGCATCTTTTTGTTCTTCGTCACCAAGCAGGATGTGAACGGAATGCACGCAATGTTCTACGCTGTGGATGGGGAGAATGGCAACATGATTCGATTGTTGCACAAGTATGGAGCGAAGGTGGATCTGGAAGACCGGGACAACCAATGGACCCCTTTAATTCGTTTGGGTAAGCAGCGCACAAGCGTCTTCTCTTAGTTACATGATTTATCAACCCTTTGCTGAAGTAGCGTAGGATGAACGATCCCTCCTGAACGAAAAACACTCATTTACTACCGAGCCTGTCACACCCGCCGTGAACACCTTTATCTAGCTGGTAGCCTCCACTCCTTTTGTGCTCAAACCTGTAGGTTATTTTGTCATAACAGGGGAGCTAACGGCATGTACAGCATAATGCATGATGGGATCTCGATGAAGGGTATATAGGGGGTGATACTGGAGGGTGCAGTAATATCTAGCAATTAAATGCTCTGAGGTCTATAAAACCAGTACATCAAAGTTTAGAGCAGGAACCATTGAAATCATGCGTTAAATCCGCCTATGAAAACATTTGCTGATCCAGCCGTGCCGTGTTAAATCAGCCTATAAATATCCCGCAAAAAGGGAGAAGCTAGAGCTTTAAATATGGTGATCGAAATAATTATTTTGCGTATGCAAGTACCTAGCCCGTAAATGTCGACATTTCTCAGCAGCCAAATTATTTAAGGTTATTAAAGATTGGATGGATCTAATGTAAAGACAGAACAACAGCCAGTCCGGTAAATGTCTACCGATTTTCATTGACGCACCGTAAATTTCCGCACATTGCGCGCCCTGAGAAAATACCGAGGAATTCTTACGACTGTCCGGATATCCAATCGGATCTCACAAGACGCATCGACTCACACAATGGCGGCTCTGTCTACAACAATTTCCGCGGCGCTGCATGTTTCTCCACGACGGGGCGCAAAAGATTCACTTGTGAACCATCGATACATCCTGGTCTGTGTTTAAAGTCAAATGTTTTGTAGAAAACTGGATGCCTGTGGGCTCTGTACTGACCGAGGTTTAGCCGTAGTACTGAACTAACCGTTATGTATAGGGTCTACTGTGGGAACAATTAGACATCGCGTTGTCGGACGAACGTGCACGTGAAGCGCAACTGTCGCGCACATGAGCAATACGTTTTCAATGTGTTTAGTTGGTGTCAAAGGTAATGTTAAAACACAGTTATGGTGGGCCCACCGGTTGACTGAAAACAAGCTTCCAAAGAACCACTGTAGGAAAAACGCACCACTTTCAACTAGATCTTTACATTAGGAATAACAACGGCTTGGTAGAGCAGTATTTTGTCTCTTCTATTATTTTGCTTTTCTTTTACGTGAGCTGAGTTCTATCTGCAATTTCTTTTTCCTAAATAAGCTATGATACATAAAATGTACCAGGTTGTTTCAGTTCAGTTCAGTGCAGTTACTAAACCCTGATTCGATTATCACACCCGTAGAGAAATAAAGCACACCCCTCTATATAATTTGAACATTTAAACGCAGCATAACGCTGAGAATAATAGGTTTTAAAATGCCTCAGTCAAAATAAGCAAGCTCAATCACGGTCAAGTTATCGGACGATCTGAAACACTGGGAACATATATGTCAGGAAATGGGAATCCCGCCTAAAGTGGCCAAATTGGTTCCCATTGTCCGCCACGCTAACTCAGCTCTCTATGATGAACTAAGCTTACCTCAAGTGGCACTTCACTCAGCAGACAAGGTGGAGACAATTCGTTGGTCAGCTCACCATTTCCGTGATTCGATCTGGTAGGAACACAAGGTGAGCAATGTTAAAGTCCGCCCGATGGTGTTTCACTTCAGTGTCTGTTGAAGATGAATGGCTAACATTTGTTAGGTCATGTACTCTGTACACCAGTTAACCATCTTCGTCGGCAAGCATTATTCGTCGTCGCTGCACCAAGTTGAGCGACACTACGAGGTGCTCAATCGATGACTTGGCACAGGGGTAGGAAGAAATTGACGGTGAGACTTGGTCATGCAGACACTTGCCGACTTCTTGGATGGGGGACTCATGCTAGTTCAAGCCAATGGTTAGAGATTTTATCGGAAGTGGCGCATTGTCGGATTCAGTGCTGCGCCTGGATTCGTTTTCTTGCGTGTAGTTGTTCATACTTCAAGGCGATTAGCTTCATGCAACCTGTTCTTGCTTCCATTCTGCTAATACCATATTTAAGTCTAAGCACATTTCCTTCTCATTGTTTCCTATTGCCAGTCTATCGACGCGAGTCATGGAAACTGCATCCACGGCACTTTGGTGCCCGGATCATGGTTTATCAACTACACTGAACTGAACTGAAACAACCTGGTACATTTTACGTATCATAGCTTATTTAGGAAAAAGAAATTGCAGATAGAACTCAGCTCACGTAAAAGAAAAGCAAAATAATAGAAGAGACAAAATACTGCTCTACCAAGTCGTTATTATTCCTAATGTAAAGGTCTAGTTGAAAGTGGTGCCTTTTTCCTACAGTGGTTCTTTGGAAGCTTGTTTTCAGTCAACCGGCGGGCCCACCATAACTGTGTTTTAACATTACCTTTGACACCAATATAAACACATCGCAAACTTATTGCTCATGTGCGCGACAGTTGTGCTTCACGTGCACGTTCGTCCGACAACGCGATGTCTAATTGTTCCCACAGTAGACCCTATACATAACAGTTAGTTCAGTACCACGGCCAAACCTCGGTCAGTACAGAGCCCGCAGGCATCCAGTTTTCCATAAAACATTTGACCTTAAACACAGATCAGGATGTATCGATGGTTCACAAGTGAATCTTCTGCGCCTCTTCGCGGAGAAACATTCAGCGCCGCGGAAATTGTTGTAGGCAGAGCCGCCATTGTGTGAGGCGATGCGTCGTGTGAGTTCCGATTGGAAATCCGGACAGTCGTTAGAATTCCTCGGTGTTTTCTCACACTGCGCAATGTGCGGCAATTTACGGTGCGTCAACGAAAATCGGTAGACATTTACCGGACGTGCGGTACTTACAGGACCAATATTCGGACTCCTTAATTGTCCACAGACACATAAAATTTTGCCTGCGATACTCACAACAAATGTATATATATATATATATATATATATATATATATTTATATATATATACTCAGTGTGGAACGGACTGCGGTCCAGCCAGCGCCTTGTGTTTACTTGATTCCTCAAATACAGCGATTTTGTATTTGTCTGTGAAGGAGTGTGGGCCGGCTCCATTGATGAAACGTGGCCCCATCCGCATGCCTCCCGGTCTTATTTCTTCGGATTAACACTGGATATGGGATGTGTGGTTGAAGCTGTGGGTTTTGCAACGCAACTCATCTACGGTCCTTCTGTAGGCGCAGACGTCATGTGGCTAGTCACAGTGACAGGCAAATCCGAAACCGGATGCCGCCAATCATGTATATATGCGGGTTTTTATGACTGACAGCGGCTTTGAAAATCATTGGATGAGTATGCTTACAAATACAAAGTTCACAAAGACGGAAACTCATTAAGAAGATGTTGTGTTCCATTTCTTTCTTTGTTTGCTGGTATGTTAAATGCTTTTGATGTTACTCAGTAGAATCAGTAAATATATTCATGTAAACATCCACCGTTAAATATATTTATGTTGATCTTCCATCTCGAGCACCTCTGTATCATGTCCTCAATTTCTTACAGTTGGAATTGTTAATGATCTTTTGCTCTCCAGCCTGGAAGACGTACGGAACTTACGACAGCTAGAGTGAAAGTCAGCGCTTTGACATTTTGTCGCTATGTGTTAGGTTGTCCCCTGCTTGATTTATTCCTGTGCGAGCGTATAGCTCACGCCGTGATAGTCGATCGCACGGCCTGCGTGAACGTGAGCCAGCCACCTCAGTTGGCGCAACGGTATTAGTTTACCGAGTCAGCGTCTTCATTAACAACATATAGGTTAGATAGAGGTGGGAATACTTTAGCTTTCGTGCTGCAATTCATGAAGAAAGACAAATGAACATGAAACAGATAGGCCAGCCGAGCAATCAGTAACGGATATACATCCTTCCGGAGAGCTACTAGCCGGGGGTTGCGCCACAAAGACAGTTTATGCTTCGAGAATGAGACAGTGCTGGGATGAGGAGACTAAGCGGGAGCCGAGGGAAACGAAGCTCACAACAAAAATGCCACTGAGGTCGGATCCTTCTGGTGTCAACAAGTGTATCCTGCCAAAAATGTTCGTCGATTTTCGAACCCAAACCAGGGCTCCTAGTGGCTCCAACCGAGGCCAAATTGGAACCAAGTTCTTGCATTCCTCTTGACCAAGTTGTCGGTTGGCTACCCTTCCTCTTCTTCCATCCAGACCCCGGTGGATACGGAAACCCTTAGTGTCCGAGAAGCGCTGTATACCATTGTGGTTAGAAGCGTGAAGTTCCCACCACACACAAGATATCCTACGCGGACAACGGTTAACAAAAGCCGAAAGCAGACACATTTCATTGAACTTAATCGGCGACCAGGACTCACGTTCATCCAATGACGCCGAACAAACGCAAGCAAGGTAAACACGGCGACGTCGCAGATGCCTCAGATTATCGAAAGCTAGTCGGGGCTTTGGCAACTTGATGCAAAATCTTCCCCACAATAGTGCCATCAACAGAAACGCAGATCCTCAGTAGATGAAACCCTCAAATGTCAGCACTGGGCAGGTGAATGCCATGTTTGCAGTAGCACTTTGCAGTTTGTTCAGTGAGTTCACCAAGTTGTGGAGGACAGAAAGAAAGTCCATTGTTAGGCCCGTCCCCACCAGATCAGCAACAGAAGCAAGTGTGTATTAGCGACTCAACTGTCCACAAGTAAGCAGGGGAGTCGCAGAGGAACAGTGCTGTCCAAGCATCTTGCGCAGATGGGAGTCCAACGCCGCTTTAAACTTTCCTCAGTCTGTGCACTGACTAGGCTTTTTGGGAGGCTGTTCCAGTAGTTTACCACCAGAGTAGAAAGGAGGATGGCTGAGCGGACTAAGTACATCCTCGGTGTAAATACGTGCCAAGTGTGACCTCGCGTTGGGCTATCTAGGTTGAGTTGGAAAAACTGCCGCAGTTTATTTCCAAGTTTCCCTCTTATTATGCGTTTGTTGAAGATTAGGTCTCCTTGGCGGCGATGGCATT